TTTGTTCACATAACGGTTGTTTGTAACAGGCGAAAGGAATCGAGATAGATATAGCCAAATGTATACATAAATGATTAGAATGAAAAGAGAAATCGATTAAGCGGTGAATGTCTGTCCGTCTGAGATATCTTAACGAAACTTTGTACGTGCACTTCTTTCGGGCGTAGGACGGATGGTATTGAAAATGAGCAAAATTGGACAATAACCACGCCTACCTCCCATATAACGGTAATTCTCAGAAATACGAAAACTGCGATATTATAGTAACTAAATACTGAAGATTATTCACTCAAAATTGATATTTAAAATTATCTTTAGAAGAAAAATAAGAATATTATAAATTTTTGAAAAATGGGCGTAGCCACGCCCACTTATGGTTACATGTGTACATCTTGGTAACTGCTGCACCAATTTCTTCCAAACTTAGCACAGTTGTTGGCCTAGGTACAGCATACCAAATGCACAATAACCACGCCAAGAAATACGTTTATGATAACATTTTGGAAAATGGGCGTGGCACCGTCCACTTATCTCGGTAGCCCCTCTACCAATTTGTACCATACTTGGTATGGTTATTGTGCTTGCCACATAAAAGCAAAACGTTGAAAATTGTTGAAATCGGACTGAAATTATGGCCGCTTTTCATATAACGTTAAATTTCAGAAAGGCTTGAAACTTCAATATTTCGAAATTTAAGGACGCTAATTTCGGAAAGGGGAAAAACATATATTTAATACTTGCGCCGGGTATTTAATGTTCGGCTCCGCCCGAACTTAGACTTTCTTACTTGTTTATTTAATAATTAATATTTTTTTATAAATGTCTAGCTCACTATATATATAACACCGTGTGATAGTAAATTTTACACACAAATATCAATGTATTCGCGAAACCATGGGCCAAATATATATAGTAAAATTGCGGATTTAGTTTTTCACTCTGACGTCAGTAATTCAAAAATTATTTAAAAAATTCAGTGAACTGTGCTTAGAGAAGAAGTATGGGTATCAAACTAAAGAGGAAATCGTGTAGAATTTAAACAGATTAAAGTTTTTGGAGCGGAGGGACTGGTAAGTATTGAAAATGTCCTTTTAAAATTTTATCCTTGAAATTTCGCAATATTTGTTTTTGAAAAACTTATATGTTTTGAAAGACTTATGTAACCTCAATAACATCCCCGAATTTCGTCCTTCTAACTTTATCAGCTTAAAAAAATACCTATTCGTCCTTGTGAATCCAAAAAAAATTTATTTTTTGAAATTCCAGAGAAGTTTCCTCTTACATTTGGTACCCATATTTTTATTCTACATTGCATTGAATTTTTTAAATAATTTTTGGAGTTAATCATATCTTTGAAATTACAAAGTCCTTCAAAATAAATCCTGCGGTCAGAGAGAAAAAATAAAAACTCTACTTTAAATAAAAAAGTAGGTTTCAAACCGATTTATTTATTATTTATTTTATGGTAGGACAGCTTCTTAAACAATAAAGAAGCAATTCTTTCGATTTAAGTTGTTGGAAAGTAAAGAGTGTCTAAATCCCGGGACTAATACCGGGATTGTGATAACGACATCCCGAAAATACCGGGATCGGAAAAAGATGAAAAATTAACATCCCTAATGTATGCATATGCATGTACATATGAATGTGTACAAATGATTGGTATGCATATGTATACATACGTGCATACATTAAAATGCAAAGGGATTTCCCGAATAGAACTATGTAAATATTTACTTATAAGCTTATATTTTATAGTATTTCTCCATAAATATCATCTCTTGCAGTCACGAGCGGTATAAAAATACATATTTCATTCCTCTAAATTGTTAAAAGCTTTATGGAGCCAATGAAAATATCAGGTAACAGATGCCCAAAGTACACTTGGTGTATATAGGAGGCATTTCTACACGATCTTTAGTCGTCTATGGCGCAGGGCGAGAGCAGCAAAAATGCCATATAAAACAAAAGCAAATGACACTAGAACCAAAGGAATCTAGCGGTGAAGAGCTGGTGGCCGAAGATTGGAATCTGTGGATAATCTACACTTACAAGATAAGCCTACTTAAAATTTTATGTATTGTTCTGCCGTTGAAATTGGCGAATGAATATTTTTTCATTTGGTACTGGTTTTAAGAGTTTTCGAGTGAACTATACGTCACAAGATCTATCGCTCGGTTCGTGTAGGTGATGGATTTCGAAGAACTGCAAAAGCTTTTTAATAACATAGATATATGTGTTTTAACATGTCGTATGTATGGATGACTCTACCGATAATAAGAACCATACATAGCTCTCTATGGCACAGAACTCGACATTGTTTGAAATGAGATATTTGAGCATAGAGCAGGCAACCAATCGATAAAAAAATTGCGCCAGAGAAAATTGTGGAAAAGCAAAAGTGGTAGATATCATCTCGGAATATGGAATCAAAAGCAACTTCAAAATTTCCCTCCATAACTATTTCCCTTCTAGTGGATGAACCATATAAATATTTAAGTTTTTATCTAGTCCATAATTATTAGTTTGTACATATTATTTACTGAGATCTAATAGCATATTTTGTTTTATTTCCTGCATTAATATTAATATTACCTCTAAATCTGTTTAGTTACATATATTGCTGTTGTACTTCAAAAGACTAAGTCTTCTTGTACTAATTTTAAATAAAGAATAAAAAATGAACGAATGGAATCCGTCAGGCTAAGGAATAAAGCAAGCTGTGATAATGCATATATCAAGAAATACTCGCAGCTGCGCCTTATAATTTGCTACACAGACGGTTCAAAAACGCCCGAGGAAATCGGAACGGTAATCTCAGCTGACATATGTGGACTCCCAAGTATATTCCTAGCATAGGCGGGTAGTCTCCAAGCCCTTCTTTGCAGCACGATCACACACCATCAGACAGAAGCTTAGGAGAGAAAAGAGAACAACTAGAGAACAGCGCTGGAATCAAATCATTGAGCTGCGACAGACATTGAAGCTATTGGGAGAATACAATAGGAAAATATATAACAAGCTTATTAACCTGTCAAAGGACAAATTAGCTACATACATGCACTTTTGATCTTGTCCAACAATTTATGCCGTTTCTGAGACAATGCAGCTGAAACTCATGAGCACACACAAGATAAGAAGACGAGAGAAATACCTCGTGACACTAAGTCCGCAGCCAAATCACATACACTCGATGCAGCCAAATAACTCATTGGACTCCTTAAGGCTGTTAGGACTGAGCGAGGTGTTGTAAGGAGTAAGAGGGCTCCTGATCGGAGTACATACCTCAATAAATATCTATGATAAAGCTTTCATAAAAGTGATTCTAGGATGCACTCGGCTTCTTTCTGTTTTCACCCTAACAGGGCAATTCTGGCTAAGATAGTAAAAAGTCTTTCGTACTTAGGACAAATGAAAAATTGATGGCAAGATACATAGCCCGAAAAACTTTTTATATTCTAGTACCAAAGCTTTAGAAAAAAAGCTCTATCATAATTATTAGATTTTATTGACTTAAAAAGAAAATATGTATGTATTTGCATATTTTTTAATTTCATTAAATTTATAAAAACGTATTTAATTTAAAAAAATTTTTTTTTTTAAATATTTTTTTATTTTTTTCCGGTATAATTTCATTTTTGGTCTTAAATTATATACTTTAAAGGGCTGTTCCCAGGTCTTAAGAAAATCGAGAAATTCATTTAAAATGACGGGCAAGAAATGGAAAGAAATTTTCTTTTATCAAAAGTTCTTAAATCAGTTAGCAGCTCTCAAGAAAAAAAAATGTTCGTATATTTATTTCTTCAAAAAAAAAATTACAGTAAGAGTTTTTCGAGCAACAGAAATAATGAAAAATATTTGTTATGATCTTATTTAATTTTCTTAATATGTAATTTTACTTATTTTTTTAATATAATTTTCTTTAATTTATTTTATACTTATTTAAAAGTAAAAAGCGTTTTTTAATTTCAGTTAATTTTAAAGTATATACTATTTTCTTCTTGTTATTTTTAATCCTCTAATTTAATTGCAAAAATGCGAACAGCATAACGCTAATACCTCCTGGTTAGAAGATCTTTCAATTAGTCAGAAGAGTGCTTTCAAGATGGCACAATTGAAAAACGTTTTACGAAAGACTTTTGACTTTAGAAAGACTGTGGTGAGATGAAAGATAGTTGCCAGAATTGCGTTTTTAATCGTAATGTCAATCTGTAACGTCTGCTGGCACGTTTTCTCTACCAACTACATATTTGTAGTTATTTATGGTCATTTTTTTTAAGTTTTTTTTTTTTAATACTGTATTCGAGTAGTAAATATTTTGAATAAAATTAAAATCTAATTGATCGTGTGCATCGGTAAACCCTTTATTTTTCTTTTTAAATTAATTATTCATTTCAATAAAATCAAAAGTTGTACTCTGCCAACAAATTATTCGCTTTGTAATAGAAATACATACATATGTATGTACTTTACGGTGGCCCTTAAATATAGGAAGCAAATTTTTACATCATATTTCCTAAGCCTCAACCCCTACGTCAATGCTACTATAGTTGAAGATATCACATATATATTTTGGTCCTGATTGGAGTCGTTTAAGGCGTGTCGCAGAGGCATCAAAGGCCAGCAGCCTCTATGGAAACTCAAAAAATTAAAAATATTTTTTTTCCATTTAACACCCAAAATCGATATAACTAAAGTCGAAGATATCACATGGAAATTGTGGTCCCGATTGCAGTCGGTTAACAAGTTTACATAGGGTAATCTAAAGTTTGACCCCTGCGCGACATGCCTTAACCGACTCCAATCAGGACCAAAATTTATATGCGGTATCTGCGACTATAGCAGGATCGACGTAGGGGTTGAGGCCTAGGAAATATGATGTAAAAATTTGATTCCTACATTTAAGGACCACCCTAATGTGCATACATATGTACATAAGTACACAAGTAAACAAATCAAAACAAAAAAGAACATAAATATTTTTTTCTAAACGACTATAAATAACATGCGCCCACATCCAACACGCTCAGATCGCTCTCTTCTGCACACGAGAGCAAATGCGCTTAACGCGATCAGCATTCAGTCAGCTTGTTTAATATTCATTCCAAAGTCATATGCAATGTGCACTGCTCACCATCATGATTATTCAACAAGCTCGCCCACTGCAGTTTACAGCTGATGCTGACGCTTCAGTTCAATTTCTACTTTCGCTCAATAGTAGGTACTTTCAAACATATTTTTTACTTTCGCTGGATTTGCTCATCACACGAATCTATAGCAAGATCTTAAAGGCGTACACAAAGCTCCAAATAAACATACATACATACAAAAACATATGTATGTAAATGCAGGCGCTTTGCCTTTTAAATAGGCGACAGTTTTGTGCGCCAATTTAGTTGCTACGTTCACTTGGAAAATAACGCACCACACGAAAGGTAGAATTTTTCTAATAATGCAGCTGCATTTCGGGAAATTTTGGTTATTGACAGCGCTGCTCTGTCTTAGCGGCATCGGTTTGGGCAATCGTCTAATGCTGGCGGATGCTTGGGTAGCGCGTGGCAATTATCATAATGATGGTGAGTGGTTGGAAATATTTGTATTTCTATATAATTTTGAATTCTTTTTCACTTTACCGCCAGCGCATCCCGGCAAGTGTGCCATCACCGAAACATTGATCATCTCGCCTGGCGAGTCTGTGAAATCTCCATCTCAATGCGCTCAGATTCATTGCGGCAATGCAGAGGGAGATGCGCGTATTGTTGGGTGAGTTTATTATGTTTCGATTTTTATTTTTTCGAGTGAAGCACGGCAATGTTAAAAGTGTTGATTCTTTAAATTAAACTACGTTTACCGGTACTTTAAGCATACAAGAACTTGGACCATAGGAAAAATCGGGACACTTATACGTCCTGAATCTTAAAAAATATTCAGCGGGACAATTTTCTCAAAATCAGTACTGTCCCGCCAAAATCGGTACGAATGGTACCGTGTATATATGTTGATAATATCCTTTTGTATTTTATGTTTCATTCATTCATATTGATACATTTTCTTATATTTCCAGTTGTGGCTCAGTTGGTGCGCCAGATGGCTGTAAGTGGGGCGATTATGTTGACAAAAATGCACCCTTCCAGCAATGTTGTGCTCGGCATCTGATCTGCGATGGTGGTTTGAACAATGAGACGCAGCGTCTTCAAGAGCATATTTGGGGAATGTTCGCTCCGAAACTGAAGAATGTAGGAATTCAGGGTGCCGCAGAAACGAAGGAGTAAATAGAGATGGAATTTTCGGAGTCAGGAGGACACCAATGGTAAAATCTACAGAACTAAAAAAACACAGTTGTTACGCTCATTTAGTTCTTAGTTTTTGTTATGAAAATTGTGATATTTTGTTGTTTTTGGTGCTAAAATATAGTCTGCTTATAACATAATTCTAAATTAATATTAGAAATAATTATTTGTAATAAAATATGGTTGCTTTTTGTCTAATACTAGAACAGGTATCGAACTCAATTTGTCGATGCTGGGGTTTCTCTTAGTTTGCGGCTATGTAGGTACAATAAGATGCCATGAGCTCTCTGGTTGTATGTTTATTCATTAGGAAGGTCCATAAATACAAAGGAAAATTAACTCTTTTGATTTTTCCTGCTGCTACCCCCAGAACTGAAGAATATCAAAGATAAGGAGCGCGGTGTCCATTCGAACGACATGACCAAGCCAGCGGAGCCGCTGTATTTCAATTCGCTGCACTAAGTCCATGTCGTTGTAAAGCTCATACAGCTCATCATTCCATCGTCTGCAGTACTCGCTGTCGCCAACGCGTAAAGGCCCGTAAATCTTCTGCAAAATCCTTCTCTCGAATACTACAATAGCCGCCTCATCGGATGTTGTCATTGTCCATGCATCTGCGCCATATACCAGCACGGGCATAATGAGTGACTTATAGAGTGTGATTCTTGTACGACGAGACAGGACTTTACTCCTGAATTGCCTACTCAATCCAAAGTAGCACTTGTTGGCAAGAGTCATTATGCGTTGGATTTCCATGCTGACATTATAAACGCTGTTAATGCAGGCGCGAATGTGCTGACTATTTGTTTGATGACAGGAGACCAGACCCATTTGATTTGCTTCCTTATTCAACTTGGAAAAGGCAGAACAGACTGCGCGGTTTTTGTTACCGATGATGACGAGGTCATGTCCATAAGCCAGCAATTTCACGCTCTTACAGTAAATTGGTGCTGAGCGGTTCAGTTCTGCAGCTCTTATTATCTTCTCCAACATCAGATTAAAGAAGTCCCATGAAAGGGAGTCGCCATGTCTGAAACCTCGTTTGGTGGCGAACGGCTCGGAGAGGTCTTTTCCAATTCTGACGGAGTGGTGGTGTTACTCAACGTCACTTTACATAGCCGTATCAGTTTGGCGGAGATGCCAAATTCCGACATAGCGGCGTATAGGCAACTCCTTCTAGTGGCGTTGAAAGCAGCTTTAAAGTCGAAAAATAAGTGGTGAGTGTCGGCCCTTTTCTCGCGGGTCTTTTCCAAGATTTTGCGTATTGTGAATACCTGATCTATAGTGGATTTTCCAAGGCTAAAGCCACACTGATAGGCCCAATGAGTTCGTTGATGGTGGGATTAAGTCTTTCACATAATACGCTCGGTAATGCCTTGTAACCTATGCATAGAAGGGTGATGCCGCGGTAGTTGGCGCGAATATGGCGAGGTCTCCTTTCTTGTGGATTGGGCAGAGCATACTTAAATTCCAGTCGTCGGGCATGCGTTCATCTGACCATATTCTGCATAAGAGTTGATGCATGAACCTTATCAACTCCTCGTCGCCGTACTTGAATACCTCAGCTGGCACGCTGTCAGCTCCAGCAGCTTTGTTGTTTTTCAGCTGCGTTATTGCCATTCGTATCTCGTCATAGTCAGGTAATTCTACGAAAAAATTTATTTAACCCATGTAAAATGCATGAGAAACTTCAAGCCCCGGCGGCACGGTAAATATTAACCAATTTCGAAGCAAAAAAATACGTGTCTCCTTATTTCTGATATTCTTCAAATCTGGGGGTAGTTGGAGGGAAAAAATTTGGACCACCCTAATATACAACATATATACATACGTGCATTTATGTAAGCAGCCAAGTTTGAGCGCTCCAAATGAAATAACTTATGCATATATGAGGCTGCAACAATAGCCCTGTGACTTTCTTCTTCGTTTCAATTGCAATACTGCCGTCTTTTGTGGTCTGTCCACTTTCATTTCTGTCTCCGAATCCATATGAAATTCCTCACAATCTCCAGACTTTGGTCGGAGTCTACTATGTCACCACAACACCTCGCTGGCATACTAAAACCTGGATCTTATTAAACTTGAAGACCCAGATCTTCCGCCCCTTTAGAAGAACGATGCGCTAAAAGACTTGTATCGTCAGCGTAGTGGAAATGTTTCAGGTAACTAAAAATAGACCACCGAAGTGAGAGATGAGAGGTGCAACTTTGTCGAACCCCGCTGTAAATTTCGAAGGTCTCAGATATCTACCTCCATCGTAAGCACTCTTTGCGAACACTATCGAAAGCCAATTCGAAACCGGTACACATCAAATGCAGATCAGCTCTGAATTCGGTACACTGCTCGATAATGATGCTCACTGCGCGAAAGTCGAGTTACTAATAGCAGTATATAGATGTTGTCCTAAGCGTTTCAAGATTACCTTTTCAATTACCTGTTTCACCGCAGACAAACCGTGGATACCACGTAAGTCAAGTCATCCCACTTGGCATTTTGATAATAATGCCAACAGTCCACTCATCTGGGAAGCACTATGCCAGGCAATTCTACGTTTGAGCAAACTTTGAAAAACTCCGCTCGTATTTCATGGGACTCCGCTGCTTTTTTGTTAGAAGCGATTTGATAGCAGTAGTAAGTTCGGAATCAGTGGGAGAATCTGGCTTCCTTGAGAAAATTTCGAAACGTCGGCAAATAAAATGTGGTTTTGAATTGACGAAAAGTGGTTGTTACATCTGGCAAGCTGCTCCTCTTCCGTGCGCATAAGTAGGCCATCTACTCTCCCCAGAGGGTCCTCGATTGCCAAGTTTTTGTTAAACACTTGCTTAGAGATCTTTCAAATATACGGCCCCAATTTCACCGCGATAAGCAGCATTTTCCTGTCTTCTAGTGGCTTCAAATCGGTTTATTTCACCATTTAGTTACCTTCGGATCTCCACTAATTCCAGATACTCGAAATATGGACGCCTGTTTGAACAGGGATTTCATTGTTTTAGCCAAATCGCTTTATATAGAGTCTATGGGAAATACGAGTTAGGTTGCCACATATCTCAATGTCTTATACTTCTTCGACTATACTCAAGTAGATCTAAGAGAACCAATTTCATTTTGACAATTGAATTTTCGTAACTTCGGTAATCCATATTCTCACTCCGAAACAAATAATATTTCATTTCATACTTTAATGGCATAGCTCAGTGAAATACAACTTAACGCATGCCTTCAAAACACAACAAAATCTTAATACTCGTAGTGATACAATAAATGATTTCGGTTTTAAACTTGCAACGCCTGCTGGCATTGATACCATCGTTACCCATAAATCATATTTACTTGTCTAGCAAAGGAAAATTTAAAAATTGTATGCTTGCAAGCTGCGAAGGATTAGCAGAAACTTATCTAGTATATATAGTACACCGAAAATTCGAACAACAAATCGAATAAGCTCAACAGATGAAGAATTGGAAAATTCACAAAATTCCACAAAATTCAATTTCCTTAACATATCAAGCGAGCAAGAAAAAGGGAAATCTACAAGTAACAATATGAAGAAGGAAAAACACAACAAAAATAATAATTGACAAGAAGCAAACAACAAATATTGCATATCACTTCCAAGCACAGATATGTATGGATGTATGTAGACACTGGTAGCATTGCCTACCATGAGGCGTGCGAACCTGTAGATGGCATCACGCAATCAGGCGGGCGATCAAATAAAACTGTGTATGGCTGCAAATGTGAAAATTGGCAATGAGAGAACGCAAGCTATTTCAATGTCAAGTGTAGAGTGGTAGAGGTTTTGGGTATCATTTGATGCATTTTCTTGGTTATGTTTTACTCTACCGCTGGCCGTGCTAACTTAGGATTTAAGACACAAAATAATAGTGAAATGTGGGAGTACTATTAATACGAGTTTTATAATTTATAAATGTGAAAGTTCGTGAGTGAGTGTGTAAGCGTGTGATTATATTGTTTTGCTCTTGCTCACCAAAACGGCTGGACGTATTGAAATGAAATTCAGCACTTGTACATGTTATAAGACATATGCCACATCTTACTGCCGGCTTTACTAGCAATTTAAGTGAGAAATTATTAAAAAAAAAAATTTTTTTTTAATTGCTTTCGTAAATCATGAAACGTTAAATTCACTTAATTAACTATTAAACAAAATATTACAACAACGTGCATGTCAAACGAAGGGGGTTAAAATTTTTATTGGAAAACATTTTTTAAGAGCGATGCAACCTGTTTGGAAATACAATCTCAATTTAAGTAATCAGTTTAACAAAACATTTTAATATGGGTATCAAACGAACTAGTTTTAAGAGAGCTTAATTTCGAAAATGTTTTTGAAAAGGGTTGCCACTGACTTAGAAATTCAAAATCGATTTAATAAACAAGTTGAATCAAATATTTTAATATGGTATCAACCGAGAAAGGTGCAAGAAAACTTAATTTCGAAAATATTTTTGAAGAGGGTTGCCATCTGTTTAGAAATTCTAAACCGATTCAATTAATACTTTAAACGAAATATTTTAATGTGGGTATCCAGTTAGAGGAAGTTTTGTTTCCAAATCGTTTTTTAGGAAGGTTACCACCTGTTTAAAAATTCAAAATCAATTTAATTAACATCCTAAATGAAATATTTTACTGTGGGTATCAAACGATAGAGTTTTGAAAAAAATTTTGTTTGGAAACATATTTTTAGTGGGTTGCCACCTGCACAAAAATAACAAGGTAATTGAAACCAAAATATGTACATAGTATGCAAAAGTCAATCGGAAAGAGTTTAAACAAATTTTTTTTCGATATCTAAATTTTTGAAGAGTGTTGTCACCTCTTTAGATATTCAGAATCAATTTAATTAAGGAGTGTAATGAAGCCGGGGTTGGCCCGAATGATTAATGAATAATAATAAAATAAATAATGACTTAAGACTAGCGACTTATGACTTATGGCGAACGACCAATGAGTAATAACGAATGACAAATAAGCAA